TTCACCCCAAATCACTTTTTGAGGATCGCTTATTAAGTGCCCAACACGTGCCAATGGCCCACAGAATTTACAAGTGTGACAAACACGCAGGGTATAATTAAGCACGTATTCAATAACTTCTTAACACCCACCTATCACAAACTATCATTAGAGCTGTCTCATGGAAAAGACCCCCCCTGCACCCCGTATCTGTGTCTACAACAGGGCATAGAGACTTCAACAACATGTGCAACCCTGTTTCAGCTTTGTGATGCACAGGTGTATATCCAGGGACAGCCCTCACAATCTAAATTAGAAGATGGCTCCCAAACCCCACAGCTAGAACGGTGGCATGGCAAAGCTTCAGAAGGACAGTTAACTTAGCATTTCATGAAGCTCTGCAGCGATCACGCTTAAAGCTGAAACCAGGCAAAGCCCACGTGATTTCTGTTCAAAGCCGAGATTTGCTCTGGTAACTCAGCTCAGTCAACATTAAATGATATTAATTAACATTTGTGGTGGCCTTAAACAGGCCCATATTGTCTTCCTCCGCAACACCTCAGACTACTACCATCTCCTCATACCTGCTTGCACAGAGTGGTTGGCCACCCGCTTGGCCTCACCTCGCCCTCCTCTGCAGAGCCACCCAGCCCAGCTCTGGCAGAGCTGCTGTTCAGACCTTCAAAGACTGGGCAGAACTTGCTTACATCTGCCTGTAAAAACATAACACAGATATGCTCCAGCTAATCTTTTGGAGAACAGCGCGGCCTCTACCAAAATAGCGATCTGAAATAGCCTTCTGGTCTGTTAAGATATGTAATAAACAACAAAGCAGTTACAATCAAGAGACTCATTTTCTCATACTTTCTGTTCTTGCACATAGAGCAGCAACTAAGGCAAATTCAAATCTAGACAAGATAGATAAAATAGATACTATCGATTCCACTGACAGAAAACTAAAGGGTTTGAATGTTTTCACTGAATTCCAGTAATAAAAGTTTTCTTCCTGCTTTTTTTGTTTGGAGAAAGATTTTTTTGAGGATTCAGAAAGGAGAGCTAATGTTTTTTGATGTGCAACTCTATGGCATGGGAAACCTTGGTAGGTATCTCAGTTACTACAGACCATCACATTCCATCTTATTCTTTGTAAGCCCTTCATACTTGTTTTGGTATTATCTGTCTTGAGCATGAGGAGCTAAGGCTACTAATCTAACAGTCAACAGGAGTAACCACTGTTGCACGGGATGGCTGCTGCATTCTCCTCCTCTCCCCCACCGAAACCCTGATGGTTCAACAGACAGGTAAAAGTTGGGCCCAGAATACTATTTGCCAAGATCTTCCTGGCAGATTTTTCTCTATTTGCCATTTATTGGTCTTGAACCAAGTAATCAGTGTCTTCTACACACAAAAACTGGAGAAGTGTGCAGTTTTTAATTGAATTAGCTTGGTTTTTGAAAGGCCCTTTTCCCACCACACCTCCAGCTCAGTTCTGGTGTAAAGAGAAACAGCCAGTAACTTGTATTAACGATGAGTTCTGCAAATGCCCCACTGTTACCAAACATGAATGCTCGGTTGCTAGCAGTTCAGACTAACTCATTTCCTCTCTCCCCACAGGTCCTGTAAAACCAGCCAGCACAAAATGCGTTATCGTTCTGGCAGCTTGCAAGTATCACGCTTCTCAGAAAGTGAACAGGTCACTTCTCTAGTATACTTGTACTTTTGTCACAACCTGCTACGGCTGTCTCCTACTGAGATGCTAGAGTACAAGTTCGCACTTCAGATCAGCTGAAGATGTAGCTTGCTCCGCAGAAAACTGTGCTCCAAAGGTGCATCTTAAGAGTTAAAACCGGCACATGCTTCTAAGGAAGATTAAAAACAGCATGGAAAACTGCACCGTGTTTGGTTCCCATCTCTTTTCTTTTTGTCAAACCCCTTTCTTGGCTCTTATGTTTGTACTGACTCAACAGGCAGCACAGTGGGTAACTCCCAGCCCTTTCTCGGGAGTCCCACCCACATTTGCAGAAGGGGAAATAAAAGAAAAGAAAACCGAACACTGTAAAAAGATATTTACTGAGCCCGTCCTTGTCTTTGCCCGATAGTGCCTGCACCCACTAGCCAGAAGTCACAGGGCAATTCCCCTGCTGTCACCTCCGCCTGGTTTTTAGGGAGTGAGCGGGGTGAGCTCCCTTCCCCCCACCAGGCAGTGCCGGAGGGGAAGCGGAAGAAGCTAGGCTCTTAGCAGCCTTTTTCTGCCACCATCCCTTTTTGGAGACTCCCACCATGCAGGAGAAATCCCCGCGCTCCAGAGCGGAGGAGTGGAGCTAGCAGCCAGCTGCTTCCCCTAGCATCGCCCGCAGCTGCTCGCATGGATATCCCCTCTGGGGCGAGGGCTGCCGCAGGACCCCGGCCTCCGACCGCGCACAGCTGCAGGGGGGTCAGACAGACACGGTCAGACAGACACGGCAGTCTTAGCAACAGGGCAACAAAGAGCAGCCAGCTCACCATCGCCTCATTTCCTGCAGAAAATACTTACCCCGGTCTTTTCGGTTCGGTCTCTGCGGGATCTGCGGGGAGGGGAGCCTGCACCACCTGCTAATCCAAATGCTGTCCGAAAAGAGAAGACCAGGGGGAGGGCAGAGGGGGTCCCCATGTTTGGCTTAAGTATTTGCAGGTGTTATGGTCGTGGGAGGCATTTCTCTGAACCTGATGAGGGAGTTTCAGTGTGAGTTCGGTTTTAGCAGCCTGCAGCTTCCAAAGAAGAAAGCTGAGTCAGAGGTACCGATGTCTTCCAACGCTCAGCTCTATTCAATGAAGCAAAACCAATGCTGAGTCTCCGGCTCTGATACTTGCAATGAACATTGCTTCAAATATAATCCAACAGCTAGTAACAACACATTATTAGGGAGCTTTTATCAAAGAACTGAGATTTTCAACAGCAGGATTTCTTTGCCCGGGGATACTTAGGCCTCAAGATAGATTTACCGGAGATAAAAAGTTAAAGAAACTAAAGACATTTATTCTAAAATAGTGGCTCCACTTTACATAAGTTAGAGCACCCTTAAATTTATACTTGCAGGTAATCTCAACCTTAATCTTTCTGACCCAGGAGAGGAGCAAGCAGTCTGGAGGTCAGACAGATCCCAACCTGTTAACATTTCCATACACCCTAGTATAGAGAAACCTACCACATTGTGTCCTCAAGAATAATACAGCAAGAACACGAGGTATTTTACATAAAACACAGAGGAAGCGGTACTCTAAAAAAATAGCTGCTCTCACCCATTCAAAGGCAAACCAGACTGAATGATCTCAGGCAGGAATTTAAAGACTTCAGTGCAGTGGGAAGGGCAGAAGGGATTTAGTCAGTAAAGCAACTGTCAGGACAGGATCTCAGTTTTACTATTTATCCAAAAATACCGCACGCAGCTCAAAGACAGTAACCTGGACCCAGTTTACCATTGATTTGAAAAGCATGACACAAGCGACAAAATATTTTTAACATGTACTTAGATCTCAAGCTCTATTTGTATAACTACTTAAGGATGCAACCAATACCCAAGCCTTGGCAAAAGCAGTTTCTGGTCTGTCGTTGCTCCTAAGCTTGGAAGAACCAACAAAGGTGCAGTACTAAATGTGCAGGAAATAACAAAGGCAGTAATTGCCTTGTGACTGTATTAGCAATTTGCATATATTAAAACAAGTGGAGATTTTCATCGTTTTGGGACTGGGAGGTGCACACTGGAACACCTCTACTGCTTTTGCCCAGCTAACTTTGCTAAGGTAATGTACAGCCGCTAGACTTTTCTGGTATTTGCACTTTTTATGCTAGTAGCAAGAAAGTGCTGAACTTGATACTTCTGAGCGACTACGGTTATTTAAATTGTTGTAAGGTTATTTACTAAATCCCAATCCACTTGAAAAACCCATGCAGCTTCCAGGACAGGGGGCCAAAACCACCCACTGGCAGCTATACGGTGCTTCGCCTGGACTGGGTGTCACACCAGTAAAGCCCTTTACAGTCACATCTGCAGACAGCTCTGATCTCATCTAGGGTGCTGACCTTTAAAAGAAGAAAAAGGAAAAAAACTCAACACACCCATGCTGAGGCCCATTAAAGTGTTACCCGCACAAAGATTTTCCTCAAGTTTCTCTGGAAGAGGCCTATAGTTTTGGGTGAATCAAGTACTAGGTTTTGCTGAGCGTGTCCCATACGTGCTGTTTATGCACAGGACAGACAGACGATACGCCGCTAGGCTCTGATTTGTCACAGAAATAACATCCTAACCACAAGAACAAAAATAAACCATCCAGTTTCGCAGCCGTTTCAGAAGATTGGCACAGATTTTCACTCATGACTCTAACAGGACAAAGACGGAGAAAGCCCTGGGCATGAGCTCTCTCTTCTGAAGGTCTCCAGCTCCTTGGCAGCTTCGGAGGAGTCTCCCCCAGCCGAGACTGTCAGAACAGGGCATGCAGACAGCCGGCGGCGGTGCGGAAAGGACCAACAACACAGCCAGCAGCAGAGAGAGGCTTCACAAGTATCTGCACAGCTGGGGAGAGACTGAGCAAGGCTATCCTTGGTTAAACGTTAAACATATCTTAAATCTAAATCCTCCCAACAGGAAGGCTGATAAAAAGCTTCCCCGCTCAAAGCATCCTGCTGCCTATCTGCAACACAGGTTAAGTTTTGTCAGACAGCTAGACACAAGACAATTTTAAAGCTATAGGCTTATGATTATTTCATACAGCAAAGCAAAGCTATTATCAGTTACAAAATGTAAACCATCTATAATACAACTACCTCTACATTGTTCAGGTTGGGGGGGGGGTCGTTTTTCTTGCTTTTTTTCAAAAGCTTCTCCCTGTGACAGAGAGAAGCTCCTCCCAGGCTGTACCAAGCACAAATGAAAGCAGCTTTCTCCGCGGAAAGCCACTAACGCTTTAGCAATGCTTTCCAAGCACAAAACCAGGCACGGACCTTGTAAGAGCACACAGCCAACTGCACGAAAGCTTTTGCTCACCTGATTTTCCCATGATCAAGCGGCGGTTTGGGTTTTTATTAATTCCACCTGCTGCCTCCTCTCTTCACCGAGTTTCGCTGCTAAGTGCCAGAGAAAAAGTGTTTGCAATTTCAGCACAACTTCTCCAGTCGCCTGCGACCGCTGCCCGAGAAAACTCAGCAGCATGAACCCGTTACCGCCCCTTCTTCAGCACTGGAGTAAGCCTGCCCATGCCTTATAAGGCATAGGGACACCGCTTTTTTTTTCTTAAAAAGATCCTGTTTAGGGTCAGGAGCTATTTATCCTCCACAGTAACCAAGCAGCTCCAAAACACCATATGGTTTCACATACCAGTTTAGCTTAGTAATCACGTCTGTCTTCTGATAAGAGGAGGCTGTGAAAAGAAATTCTGCTGACAAATAATTCTGCTGCCACAGTGGGCATAATCATGAGGTTAATTCATACAGCTAAATACTTGTTAAAGTTTTACCCAGTTATCGTACATAAAGCTGAAACAGGCAAGTGATAAGACAGTTGGAAGTATAACTACGTTTTACGTCTAAAATAAATCACTTTATCCACTGTTACCACATAGACTGTAGAAGGTATTAGTAAAATGCAGCATAAGATTTTACAGGTTAAACAGGCACCGTGCTGATGGTGTGTTTCTGTAAAAAGAGTTGGATGTGCGTATGCCTCATTTTATCTGCGCAAGCACACTGTGCCACTCTTATCTTCACGCTACATCGAAATACCTCAAACTAATCTGGCAAATATTAACTACTTCAATTACGGCAAACAGGATACTTTGATTTAACTTCAGAAGTGCTACATCTCTCCAAACAAAAATTCAGTTACGTGTTTCCAACTTTCATCTTTTCATCATCACAGAAAAATCACCTGAGGTTAATGCTTCCCAGTTTTTTACAACGCCTTTCAAAATTTCGAGGTTCTACTTGGTTTTGTGCCAAGCCTGCTGGCTCAGCAGGTTTCAATTATCCTTTATCTACCTCTGGAGCTGAGCTCCACGACGAGAAAAGAAAAGAAAACTCAGAAATAAAAAGATGTAGGGTTTTTTTTTCCTTTTTAAACAAGTAGCAGCAGCAAGTGGGGAAAGACAACATCCCTTCACCAACACACTGCTCCTCCTGAGGTTGCTTCACTGGCAAGGCTGAAACACAGGCCGAGGGGGTGTCACTATCTAATAGCTGATGGGATCACTAGGAAGAGGTAGGGGGGCAACCGATCACCACCCAGAGGAGGGAACCGCAGGGTGTGAGATCACCCTCATCTTCACAGCTGCCTGACGCTTCCTTTCGCTGGTAGCAAGGCAGGCAGCAGAGGAGGAGGAAGAGGTCAGAGAAGGTGCAGAAGGAAATCTCTTCCCACTCCCTCTGCCGCGAGTGGCAGTAGTTGGCTGAGGAGCAGGGTGGAGAGCTGGAGCTGGTACTATCAGAACCCTTTAACTGGAGGTGAAAGCCGCTGTTGTATTTGCTTGCAGGAGTGAACAAACCATGGGCCAGTCTGTGAAGCCTAGCCTCTAAAAATGCTCTGCTAAACTGGAAATACTGGGTTGTGCTGCTCCTAGGACATACATCAATGCTCAGCAATACCCCGTGCCACCCCATGGCCGTGACAAGGAGTAGAAGGGAATTTAAATTTGCATAGTTGGGAGTCTCTGGTATTTGAAATATTCATTTATATCCTCATAGTTGATTGTGGTATTTTATACTGTTTATCTTTTAGATCTTTATAATATTCAGCTGCATTATAAAACAACATCCCCTCGGGAACTGGACTGCTACTAAGAAAACAGCATCAAGAGGGCTACGAAAATTCTCAGGGGGATGGAACACCTCTCCTGTGAAGAAAGGCTGAGAGAGTTGGGGTTGTTCAGCCTGGAGAAGAGAAGGCTTCGGGGAGGCTTTATTGCAGCCTATCAGTACTTCAAGGGGGCTTATAAAAAAGATGGCGGCAAACTTTTTAGCAGGGCCTGTTGCGACAGGACAAGGGGGAATGGCTTTAAACTAAAGGGGGGTAGATTCAGACTAGATATAAGGAAGAAATTTTTTACGCTGAGGGTGGTGAGGCACTGGCACAGGTTGCCCAGAGAGGTGGTGGATGCCCCATCCCTGGAAACATTCAAGGTCAGGTTGGACGGGGCTCTGAGCAACCTGATCGAGTTGAGGATGTCCCTGCCCACAGCAGGGGGGTTGGACTAGATGACCTTTAGAGGTCCCTTCCAACCCAAACTATTCTATGATTCTGTGATAAAAGTGACCAGAGACACCTGCGTGCCATTTTCACAACATCCTGTGCAATCATAACTTGGAAAGGAGGGTTTCTCTGACCTGGCAAAAATCCAGTGTTACCTACAGGAAAAAAAATAGTGCTTTTTCTGATCAGAAAACAAGGAAATCAAAATCATTGCTCAGGCATGAAATGTGAAAAGTATCAGTACAAAGTAAATGCAATGACTCATCAGAGACTGGAAAGCAATGTAAGCTGAGATACACAAAAACAAAAGAGGAAGGTAGGAGCTGGGCTTTTTTAGCATTTTAACATTACCTGCTGAAATTTCCACACTAACGAATATTGCTGATCTTATCAGATGGAAATTTGGAGGAAGTATGTACACTAATAATTAAGACTGTAATCAAGTCTCTGAAAATAACGAAAGTGATTAAATAAAAGCCACTGCTAGGGAAATTTGCAAACTGTAAATCATTAATATCCTTTTACCAGTTTCAGGTAGTATCAAACATACTGGAATCTGAGTGAAAACAAACAGGATTTCCCATTTGCTTTATGATGTATCAGAGCACCTCCAAATGCGTGCTTGTTTAATTACTGCATGATCCCTTTACACAGAGAAAATACTAGGATGACATTGGTATTTTCCAATAGTGGGCATTGGAAACTATCTTACAGAAACAGAAATGCCCTGACACAATGTCAGATCCGAGTCCAGCATTCTGCCTCGTATAGCAACACCTACGAAACATTTCTGGAAAAGATGCAAAAAAAGTACAATGTGGATTGACTCATTTTTAATTGTTCCATCTTTCTGCTAAAAGGAAAACAGAACAAAAACAGCTGGCTAGAAAAAGTAACACTTAACCAGTAAAGACTGGTGTAATAAATATTCTTTCTGGAAATAGGTTATAGAGCACATAAGAAGGAAAAATGCAATTTGAAAGGAAGTGCTTGAATCATTACAATCAGGGAGTTAGAGATAATTCATCTGCAGTAGAGCTATTTCATCTGCATCCTGAAAATCTGTGGCTAAAATTTTGGTGTCAAACTGAGTACGTGGCATTCAGATGACAAAACAGATTCCTCCTTCTACCCTGTCTTCCCTTTTCTCCCAACAAAGCAAAACCATTTCACCCATCCGCATCAACCGCTTCTCTTTACCTTCATGTGACTGACCCTAATGCTCGCAGTCTCATAACCTCCTCTGGTGCCACCGTCTGTAAACCCACATCCTTCCCCTGCTTTGCTTTCCTGTCTCTTCTGGAAGCTTCCTGCACCCCTTCCCACCAGCGGTTTCTCTTTGCTGTCCCCCGACCTGCCCTGTGCGACCTGCTGCTCCCACTGTGATCAGCCCTGGGTAGCCGCAAGCACTTCTGCAGTGCCCCACAGGCTGCCTCAGGGCACGTGGGCCCGGCAAGGCCGGTGTGGTGGAACTGGCAGTGTGAATTTCCAGGCCCAGCTGGGACTGTGCTGCTGCCTGTTGTCTCACGTAGCTTAGTCTTCACAGCCACGTGCTGACAGCCTCCTATATTCCTCCAGTAGCTCCCACCAGCCAGCCATATATAGCTAAATCTGTAGAAACTCAGGACTAAACAGATGTCTTCTTGACAGAGCAAGAAACCCCAGGCAGAGCCCCGGTTACCCATTGTCTTCCCAGAGGTCTGCCTCCACACGGCTGAGTACTCATCTCCATCTGGCAAGAGAACCCACCTAAGCGGGACTCTGCTATGTGTCTGTTGCGAGGGCCTCAGTAGCATCATGGATTTCAGCCTGCAGATTCTGTTCCAGCAGCAGTCCAAGTGATGAAGTAACAGCTGGCCAGCTGCTGCCTATGCAGATCCCCGGCTGCTTGCAGGCAGGTTCAGACACATTTAAGAAGGCCCGAGATGAACCTTTTCACATGTGTGTGCTCTGATGGGTCCAGTTGATGCAAATGATGTCATCATTAAAGTTTTGAATCATTAATTCATTCCATCAGTTGGTATGAATCAGGTACAATTAGGTGCCTGCGCAGACTGGGACAGGCATATGACATATGACAACACTGCCAAGGAGGTGTGTATGCCTCCCAGCCTTCTTTTAAACACAACACTAAGCAGTTTCTCCGAAAGTCAAACCATGCATACAAAAAGTTTGTGAGCAATACTAAATGTAACAAATCTGTTCTCCCCAGAGACTCTTAACAAGTGACCCTAAGGACCAACAGTATTCATACGAATATGACTACACCACATATGAATAAGACTACATCACATACAAATAACATCATATATGGTGACAAGAACCATGAGTGAACAGTAAAATTATGCACCAGACTATCAATCAACTAGAAAGCTGCACATTGAGGTAAAAGGAAAACGGGGCAAAAATGATGCTAGAATATTTGAGAATATTCCTCCTGTTCCATTTTTGCCAGGCTTTGCTTGTGGGACCCAAGCTGGTGTTGCCATTTCACCTGTAAAGTAATCCAGGCTGTGCAGCAGGTCACAAAAATTCAACTTTAACACAGTTGGAGATGTTAATTTTTCTTGCAAAAGGAGATGCTCATCTCTGCTTTCTGGTTTGACCATAACTCTCAGGTACTGAAGAAGATGAAAGGAACTGAGCTGAAAAGAGCAAGAGTACAAAAGCAAGGCTATTCCTCTTTCCTCAGTACTGTGCTGTTATCGGCTGGCCACATCCACAAAACCCTCACACAGAAAACAGGAGACTGTCACTGCAGAGTAGTCATTGACTTTAACTTCTTCCTACACATTGCAAGATAAAAGTAGCGTGTGATGAATCACCAACAACAGTCTTAAGGGCTGCATTCAAAGCAAAGATTTGGGGGACAAAATGTGGGAATACTGCTGTCCAAAGGAGAGTGTGGCACAGGCACTGCCTTTCTCTCGAGAGGCCCAGCACCCTCCCCAGCTGACATTCTTCAGGC